GTAAGAGTGTAGAGAAAGATCCACCATCAGATAGCATGTGTGCACTGGCTTTGTTTATTGTAAACCCACAAGGTGTCACATGCCATTTTGGTTTCATTTTGCCAAGATCTGAAAAATCAGCTTAACAGAAACAAAAAGAACTCACCCACAAGGGTAAAAGCCCTAGGGCAAGAGATAAACATATGGGATATTTTTAAGGTAGGTCACATTTTTCTCTAAAGTTGAGTAAACTCCTAGAATTGATAAAATCTTGCAGCCAGACTTCATTTGATATGAGAAAGCATTTGTGGGAGGGAAGCATCTGTTCATTATCGCTCATGGGCTTAATTGTATGTTTCTTATCACCCAGTGGTGTTTTCATACTTACCACATGCACTACCGTATGTCCAACTTCAAAGAGAGAAAAGAATATTGCAGTCCTGAGTGATTTGTTTCAATAAGGAAGATAGTTTCAAATAACCTGTGTTTCTTCTGAGAAAAGAGGCAAAATATGGGGAGTGGTGTCTCCTAGAGGAGTTAAATTGACACCTTGGAGAATAGCAGGCTGCTTTGAAAGACCATGTGGCTCCAGTGAGTTAGCTATCACTCTGCTTAGTGCTCACAGGAGCCAGTGTGATTCATTTTTTCCTGGAGAGGAAGACTTACCCTCTTGCCTCACTTAAAAATAAAATAAATAAGCAAAACAAACCAAAATACTTTATATTTCTCTTTTAAAAGCATATCAGAGCTCAGAAACAAGCATGAATTAAGGGTGAGAGGAAAAAAGCAGTAGGAATACAGAAAAGAAATAAGAAAGGAGAACAAATTGATATGAGGGGTGATGATACTCAAGAGTGTCCGTTCTTTCTTGCAGTACTGCCCTCCCCTCCCTGCCTGTCACCTCTCACCTCATGCTCTGCTCCCAGACTCAGGTCTGTGGTTTGAGCTCTGGTTTCTACTCAAAACCTTCAACATCAGAAAATGAAAAGAAAGTTCACCAAATTCTTTTCAAATTGCTTTTCCTAATTTTCCATAGGAAAAAAAAAAAAAAAAAAAGAAGGAAAAGAAAAAGAGAAATAATCATTGCAGAGCTGAAGTAGTCCTCTCGGTGTGAGTTTAATTAATTGAAGCAAGAGAGTCCCCAGGAACCCTGTCATCTTTCCCATCAAAAACACTGTAGTAAGTAACCCCATAGCTATAGAAGAGGAATTTTTTTCATTACTGTTTCAATCTCAACCCTTCAGAAATCCTTTTTGTATTTCAGCCGTGACTCAGCTGATTTAGGTACTTTAATTCCTCTTTTCTTCCTTCCTGCTTTCCATATTGTTTTGTATTTCCTAACAATACAGACATGAAATTCATGCTGTGAAAGATGAGAAGTAATCTCTGATAACTACTTGAAAGCTCAAGTTAAAAATAATCTTGTGGCACAAAAGACTGTTTTTTCTTGTTCTCTAGATTCATATTCCATGCTGGTCACACGCCAAGGAGTTTACTAAGGTGTTTATTTCCCTGCATTTTACTGTCCCAGTGTGCTAGTCTACTGAAGTACACTCAGAATTAGCCATCCACTGCACTTCCAGGACATACTGCATTAAAAACCATAAGCGGACACATGACAGTGGCAGCTGAGGATTTCTTCTCCCTACTGCTTCAAGAAGCTAAAGTTCAAAAACCTGTTTGTTTATCCAAAACCTCATTATCACAGACACTGAGAATTGGGTGGTTCAGTCTCTCTCCTTTTTTCTTTTTATTTTTTTTTAGTTGGAAAGCCCCAGATTAGGCTGGCTGTGTCAAGGCAGTAAGATGAAGAGTTTTGAACATTCATCCACTTTTGGCTTGCCCACGTCCAGCACCTTTCCTGTGCTCACACTCCCATTGCTCTCATCTGCTCCCAGGAGTACTTTGTTTTGCTCTTCTGCAGGAAGGCAGTATCTCTGGCTCCCCTTCTCCCTTTCAGCCCCTGCCACAGGCAGCAAGCTGGGCAGAGTACACACAAGTTGGTCTGGAGATCTTCTTTCTCCTACTTCCTTTCCAGGACCAGTCTACCCCCAAGCTCACCTTGATCAACTTCTAGCTGCCCTGACTGATGTTACTGCAAGTCCATTAGATTTTGGATACAAGGAAGAGAATTTTTAACATCTACTGGAGTATCCACCATACTCAACACCTTCTTGTTGAGATATTACCTTCATTTTCTTCTTTTCTCTGTCCTCTGAGTACAACAGGGAAGTGTCCTGCATATACTAACACTGGTCCAGCATAAAGCCCCATGACCCCAGCTATGCCCCCTCATCTCCTGCACCCTACTCCCACCAACCAGCGTTTCTTGCTGCTGGAACTATCACAGTTGAGTATCCTTTAGGGTAGAGCAAACCCTTCATTCACCCTTCAGGCTCCAGTGGTACTTTTAAGCTCACAATTAAGCTAAGCTCCACAAACGAGGATTTCATAATCCCTTTCTCCTCCACTTATTCATGTTTCTTCTGTCTGTAAACTAGACCAGCATCACCTTCAGAGCTTCCCTGACACACATTTGATTCTGTGTCATTTCAGATATTTATTAAATCCAAGCAGCTGTAGTAATATTATGGTATGTTCCCACAATACAACTTACAAAATAAAACAATCAGGAAGTATAAAAATGAAGCTTCCTTAGGAGCTTTTTGTTAGCTGCTATTTAGTTGAAGTATGTTTTACCATAGCTGTTGACCACACAAAACTAATACACCATATCAAGACACTCATTTAACCAGAAAAAGAGACAGAAAAGTTTGTAAATATCCCATGCAGCCAATGAACTGTGTTGGACATTTAATTTTTGTTTCTTTTGAATCTTTAATTTTTTTCCCTATGCAGATTTTGTGGGTGTGAATTTCATTTCCTGATTCAGGTTCTATTTTCCTTTCTTTTTAATAAATAAATAAATAAATGAATAAATGTGGTGTTATTTGATTTGAGAAAGTTATGATTCTTTGGACATGAACTCCTAAGTTAAGGGGCATTTTTATGAAGCCCATTTTCCTTACCTCATCTAAACACTGCCCTTAGCTACTATCAGCAAAATAGAAAATATTCTCTTCCAAGCTTTTCATGTGTGGTCTGCCACTTTCTTTCATAACCTTAGAATTTAAACTTAGAAAACACTTCTCAGAGTGCTTTTACTACCTTCTACAATTCCTTGAAGAGTGAGTATTTATGTGGTTCCCTGCTTACAGTTCTCAGTTTCCAAGAAAAGAGGGCAAAAGTTTTGCTCAGGAAACTTTCCCTCTATTTCCCATCAAAGTGCAAAATCCAATTGTCACCAACTGATCGTAATCCAAATGATGGAACTCGTTTATTTTAGCGACCATCCACTCCATCTGAAAACTTGTCTCCTGGCAGAATAAAGAAGCCTTTCACTCCCCATTGTTCCTGCTTCAACAGGGGATAAATCCCCACATCTACCACACAAATCTCTTTCTTTATGATTTTTTCTAAAATGTAATACAAGTGAGCAGTCCTGATGACAGCTACTTATAAGCATGAACTGGAAGCACAGAGAATCAGTTCTCCTACTGACATTTAAAGCCACTTTCAGCATGGGGAAAGCACAGTGGGGGGGGGGGGGTAGCAATTGACACCACTCATAAAGTCAAGGTACCAATGCCCCCACCAAGGGTATTAATAATTGTACTCTTCCATACTAAAATAACAGTAAAAACTACCAAATCAAGCAATTAAGGTAAACACAGAGCTAATCAGGAAGGAGATTTAGGAGTTACAGTATAATTCCCCCAAACCCCCAGCCTAATTAGTGAAGAAGATAAACTGGTTGACAGATTGCACAGCTAGAAAAACATAAAGCAAAGAAGGTTATAGTATTTATTATTACTGTATAAGACAGTGATTAGACCCCCAACCTATGTACAGATCTAATCACCATCCCCTGGAAAGGATAATAGCCAGCCCTGTGAGTCTAGTTTGACAAATTAATCCAAGCCTGATCCAAATAAAGAGATTTGTAGTTTTCAATGAAAAATTAACTTGTTGGCTGTGCAGTGGGGACATCACCACATGCACTAATGGCACTGTTACCAAGAAACAGTGTTGCACCATGTCTGTGTTCAAGGATCTCTCAAACAGTGCATGGTTTGGTGTTGCAGCAAGGGCAAAGATTTAAGGCAGCAATTGGTGTATTTGTGGAGCATTAGTCGTAACAGGACATAAAACCTAATCCCAGCTTGTAGGTAGTAGTCTACAAAGCGTGGGTTGATGAATCATCTAATCCCAGCCTTCTTGAAGTATATCCATATATCTCAGAAAGGTTAAGGTGAGGAAATTGCTCTGAGTATCGCACAACTTAGAAAAAAAATCACACAAACTGGATTTTAGTACATAGTTGTACTATGGTATGGCATTCTGACAGCAACAGGAGAAAGAAGCAACGTGATTAGTAGGTGGGATGTTATGTGGACACCCATGTTTGTCCATAAAAATAAGGAGTGTGTGGAGCTTAGGGAACTTGGGAAGCCTCAGGAAACTCCTGGAGCAAAAAAGAAAATTAAAGCAAAGGATGTACCCAGCAAAACAGTGCGGAAAGGGCAGGCTTGATTTTCTTTTCCATGTAATGAATTAAGTTTGCTGGTTTGTGTTCTACAAGATCTTGTTCTAAGGATTTTAAACCCTTCCATATTTTGAGGAAATGTCACGGCCATTCACTTCAGGGCCATGGTCAGCACCACATTCCCTCAGAGAATATTAACAAATGTTGTTTATATTATAATAATATATTAATAAATATATATTATATTTATTCACCTAAACACTACAGAATCTACATATTTATATATCAAGTAAGCCAAATTTCTGCCGCAGTGTTCTTAATGAGGTATAGAGGAAGAGCGAGGCTACAAAGCTCAGCAGTTTGCCAAAGTAGGTTCCTACTTTCTATATGTCTAGACTCCTGAAGTGAAAGCCTTCATGTGGGGTTAGGCAGGTAAGCACTCAGTGCAATCGCAGGGCAGGTCAGGTGTCTCAGAACAGCTTTCACAGCAGTCAGCAACCTAAGAGAGTTTGGGTAGGTACCAGGAGGAAGAACTGAAGTCCTGCCCATTTCCTGCCCTGTGGCATGCGGATCCATGTTGTCAGGAGACATTCACCAACTACCCTGCGTTTTCTCCAAACCGCTTTCTAAAAGCAGTAGGGAGGGACCAATCCCTTTTCTCAGGTGACAGCAGCAGCAGCAATCTTCTGGCCAGAAAGTGTAAAACCTGTGCTCATTTCCTGCCATTTCCAAAGAGGACACCGACCCATTTTCACACCCCACAGCACAGTGTCCCAACCGCAGAACTAGAAGATTTCCCCCAATAGAAGTAGTAGAGATGATGCCCCTGAAGAGAAGCTCTAGCTCTGAAGTAGTTTGTGTAAAATGTGCAGGTGTCCTTGCGATTAGACAGCATTATCACAATATCTGACTACTGTGATTATCTTGGAAATTATGCTACACTCAGAATCTAATCCAAATTTCTACCTGTATCTAATTTTCCCTTCCTAAATTGTACATAATTCAGTGTAATCTTCCTTTTCAATATTCAGTCTGAACACTTTTATCAGTTTTGGCCAAAAAAGCAGAACTTTTCAAGTGATCCTTTCCAACATTTCTGACAATAAAACATTTACTAAAGCAATGTGGTATGTACCTGAGTGATTTAGAGAAGACTGTGTTATTGTCCAACTGTGCTTTGAACAGCTAGGCTTCATAATAGTACAGACAAATAGCTGAGGAGAATACAGGCTTTTATAATACTATGAACACAATATTCAGAAAACAGAAATTACAAAAGAATCTTCTTTTATTCCAACAACTTGTGTTTAGCTGAAATTCATATTTGATGGGACTAGATAACTAGCATCAAGTCCTTAATGTAACTGCTCAAAACACCATTATGCTTTTGCTATCCAAAGATTATATGTTGTGATAACCAGATACAGACACTGAGAAAAGAAAATAAATTCTTATAAAACACTTTCTGGAACTAGTAACTAAATAAAAATACAACAGAAGTATAAAGATAAAAGTAAAGGAGATTTAAAGGTAGTTTTTTTCTCAGAAAGGGCCTGTCCACTGAATCTAAATCATCTCCCAAGCTATGGTTAATGAAAAGTTATTAGGAAAAATGTTGTCAGGGCACTAAGTCTGGTAAGGGCATCTAAGGCCCACTGGTGCATCCGGAGTGCATGCTGATAAATATGAAGTAAGTATTTTGTTGTGTGTGAGGTTGTTCTGCTCTTAGGCTGTCTGAATAAGGCTGCCTCTGGTGCTACTAACTCGATAGACCTTAGCGTGCCATCTACAGTCCTGCTGAAGAGCAATACTAAGTAAAGTCACGCAGTCTTGTTTAACTGGACTCAAAGATTCTGTAAAGAGAAGATACCACTGTGAACACTTAACTTGTTTTCCTGCCTCTATTGTACAAACCTACCCAATTTACACTCTGATGCAGGTGCAGGCACAGTCCTAAGTGCTGAGCCATGAGCAGATGGCATAGGAGAGTTCACTCCAGAACTAATTGCTTATCCCAAGCAAATCTAACAGCTCCTGGCTCTGAGAGGCTGTCTGTGTTCAGAAGGTACAAAAATGGTGGCTTTTCATCTCCTGCCAGACAGTGAAATAAATATGCTGGACTGGAAGGAAAAATGTTGTGGGGAGGATTTGACTCAGAGATCAGCATCTAGATATTGCCCTTAAGGACTTCACTGTGCTGGCTCCTGCCTGTAATGAAAAACACTTTAAAGAACATGCGATCTTAACTGAGATATTTCCAGATGACTTCACCACAGATTTCAGTAAGCAATTCAAGTGTTTAACTACTATGGAATGTACGTATCCTCAATGCTGGATCTTTTTACATGTTCACATCCAGACTAAAGAACCCTTTATTCTGGCCAATCTCCCCCCTGCAGTCAGCTGTAGACTGTGAGCAAAAGCATCCTCCTACCTGCTTCTTGTTGAGCTAAACAGGGCCTCTGCATTCCCTCTCTTTCTCTCCAAGGTATGTTTGCTTGTCCTGTTGTATCCGTCATGACTGTTTCCTGAACCCCTTCCAAATTGTGAACATTTTCCTCAGGCTGCAGAGAAAACAGTAACACAGGATTGTGGTAACAGATTCGTGCCAAATGTAGAGGGAGTACAAAATTTCAGTTCTTAAGATCACTCTGTTTACGGTCCAAGGATCACATCAGCACCACAGCCCACTGACACACAATAAGCACTTGTACTTACCTGAGCTATTTCCTCACAACTTGGTGACCCCCTTTGCACGAAGGGGGATAACTTAGAATCACAGAATCATAGCATAGTTCGGGTTGGAAAGGACCTTAAGATCATCTAGTTCCAACCCCCCTGCCATAGGCAGACACACCTCACACTAAACCATGTTACCCAAGGCTCTGCCCAACCCAGCCTTGAACACCGCCAGGGATGGAGCATTCACAACCTCCCTGGCCAACCCATTCCAGTGTTTCTCCACCCTAACAGTAATGAGATTCTTCCTTATATCCAATATAAACTTTCCCTGTTTAAGTTTTAACCCATTACCCCTAGTCCTATCACTACAGTCCCTAATGAAGAGTCCCTCCCCAGCATCCCTATAGGCCCCCTTCAGATACTGGAAGGCTGCTATGAGGTCTCCATGCAGCCTTCTCTTCTCCAGGCTGAACAGCCCCAACTTGAATGACATTATATGTGACTGTCTGAAAAAAATTGCTTACACTGAGCAGCTCACCCATTCCTCTTTATCACTCACCTTTCCCACAGTCTCCATCACCTGAAAACCCAGCTGGCAATGATAGAAGTATGAAGAGACATTCAAGGACAGGCTCGATGTGGTACTGAGCAACCCGATCTAGTTCAAGATTTCCCTGCTCATTGCAGGGGGGTGGATTAGATGACCTTTGAAGGTCCCTTCCAACCCAGACTATTCTATGATTCTATGAAATGGTTCCAGATCTGCTTCCAGTGGGAAGAAATAACTGCCCAACACATTCTCAATTTTTGTAAGGACTTCATAGTAAGCTTTCTATCAGTTATATATGCCACGCTTCTTTTTATCATTCTAGCTTTCACCCTGAAGGTTGTGCTGAATCCTGTCAAAAACTTCAAAAAGTCAAGCATCATTATGTTTATCACCCAGCTTCACTAAAAGAAACCCTATCAGGTTGGTCAGACAGGACCCATTTTCCATCTGTGCATTGCCATTAACTAGATTAGTACTATATTACCACTTAAAGGAAGGAACTGTAGCACAGAACTATATTAGTACTTCAGTTTTCTTATTATGTGTCAGCTGTTTATTATTTAAAACAGAAAACCCCTGTTTTAGGTTGATAGGCCTGTAATTGCCTTGACTATTCCTCTTACCTATTATAATACAATGGTAACTTTTTTTAATGTCTAATGGAATTTTTTGGTGCTCTGAGACTGATTAAATTTCAGCATTAATGTTCATTGAGTTCCTTTGCCAGCTCTTTCAAAACTCGTGGGTACAGGATGACCAGATTGCTGATTTGAAAATATCTTCTTCCACAGCTGTTCTCTAACATATTCTTTAGTTACAACTGGAGAGCACATATATGACATTGACATATTCTACCCTATACGCTGTACATACATACAAATAGAAACATTTCCCTTTGCTACACTACCGTTGGACAATTTAACACTTTTTTCATTAATAAACTCCAGAAAGAGTTCTATTATTCTTTAATTTGTGTTTGTTTAAAAAATCCACAGTTGTGATTGATATTTATTACCAGCAATTTCTCTTTTCTCCCAATGAACAGAGGGACAATTTTAATCCTCTCTTTAAGCAAGTTTGAATGAGTTAGGCTTTTCTATTTCACTTGGGAAGTGTAGCTTCTGGGCTATTTCACACAATGTTCACAAGCATTTGGGATTAATAATTCACATCAATTATTTGTTACCACTTTTTTCACAAATCTTTGGTGATTACTTAGTTCCTTATTTCTGGCTTCCTCAAGCTTGTACATTTACATAGTTGTGCAATATAACAAAGAGTGTAATATGACAAATTACAGGGATTGGGATCAGTTTACTGACCCTAAAATGACAAGGATTTGGAGGGAGTCATGAAGGCAAATAGAAGTATCTTATGTTCAAAGTAATAAAAAAAAGTGGAGCTAGTGCACCTATGCAAGAGGTGTGTATTTGAAATGCTGTGTCAAGAAAGTAGTTTTATCACTCTGACTAGGTATTAGTTGATCAGATATACCTACAGCAAAAGAACTGAATGCAGCTGACTGCCTTTTCAGAACTGAAAATGATCTTCAATAAAACTCTACAAAATAACTCCCAACTCAGTACTGAGATTGCCTCTGGGAAGAGGTCATCTAGTCATTATGTGATCCAACTATTAGTGTAGAACGTTTGCTCACTGTAAAGAAGGCATTATGGCTATCTCATCATCTTTTGTCATGATCAACCCATGGGATACACAAATTTTAAAGGGATTGCAGTTTCTTTGTGCTGTAAAACCTGCTGGGCCACTGACACCTGTTCCTAGATGCCATATGTTGGCCAAGAAAAGAAATTTCAGAAATTCTATACTTTTCTGAGTCCTCAAAATGCCAATTTTTATCACTGATTTTGTTCAGATTTACAGTTATACTTTAATTTTCAGTTACATTTTATCATTGTCCCCTGCTTTACGCAATCATCTTCATCAGCAATGATAGTTTCCAAGCTCTATTAGTAAATACATTAGGAAGTGTAGAAGTAGAGGAATGAACAACCAGCAGTTTATATGCAACTGAAGTAGGTCTATTGATTTCAATTGAATGCATACTCTCACTTAGCTGGGGATCTGACCCGTTGCTACAGCAAATGGTAGTATTTATACTACTATAATGATATTGTTCATCAACTATATGTTTTACAGTTCTTCTATAGCAAATCTGCTGACAACACCAAGCTGTATGGTTGACAGACTGGAGGCAAAGGTTGCCATCCAGAGGGACCTTGAGAGGATTGAAAGGTGGGCCAACATGAACCTCATGAGGTTCAACAAGGCCAAGTGCAAGGTCCGGCACCTGGGTTGGGGCAAACTCAACTATAAAAACAGTCTGGGCAGGGAATGGATTGGGATCAGCCTTGACGAGAAAGACTTGGGGGTGTTGGTTGACAAAAAGCTTAACATGAGTCAGCAATGTGTGCCTGCGGCCCAGAAAGCCAAACTTATACTGGGCTCCATGAAAAGGAGCTACTATGAGGGTGGTGAGACAGGTTTCCCAGAGAAAGCTGTGGATGTCCTATCCCTGGAAGCGCTCAAGGCCAGTCTGGATGGGGCTTTAAGCAGCCCGGTCTAGCTTGGATTTATATTAATGGATGCTCCCATTAACTTCAGTAGTGCAGGGTTAGATGCCAGTGTGAGACAAGAAAATGAAGAGCACTGGACTGCCTGTGAAACTTTAAATATATGTTTAGGTCTCTGCCTAACCAGCAAAGCCTTGCAGGACATGTGAGCATTGCTGACTTCATTTGAAGAGTGGTGGAATAAGAGTACAAACACTCCAAATACGCCAAGGATCACATTTTGGCAAAGAGATCTGGTTCACACTGTGAAAGAGCTAAGAATGGAGTATGCCAAAGAATGAGGACACAAGGAGCCTGTTTGCTGAACATACAAATGCTGGAAAGAGGAGGTGACAGCTAAGGTAGTCATTAAGAGTGTAGATCAGGAGCAGCACTCACTGGAAAAACAGAGTTCACAGGACAGCAAGTAGTACTCCCTGCTCTGCTTGATGCAGGTGTGTTACCTCCTATATGGCTAATTAAATAAAAGAGATCCCATAGAGGGCTTTGCTGTAAGAAAAGGTCAGATTTCTGAAATGAAAAATGTAATGATTTTAATGACCTGTGGGGATGGACTGGAATTAAGTAGTGAGAGCAGCAGTGAGCCATGCTGGTGGAGGAAAGGCCGGTGTAAATCCTGCACTCACCAGGATCAGCAGCAGCACCCTGCTACCTACAGCGATGCAAGAGGAGGACTGTCCAGAATTGAGACATTAGAATTAAAGGATGAGTAAAAAAGTACTGATTATCCACCTGTGATTATGAAGCTTTTTAACTGGTCTGGAGTCTTGGAGTCTGTGAGACTTGTCTGACAGGCTATTTCAGGCTATGCAGGACTTCTCTATGGTGCCTTTTGCAGAATGGGATTATCATACAATCCCAGAGTCTAGATTCATCTCTTACATACTTTGACTTTGGATTCATTGCAGATCTGACATATTTTTTATTAGGACTGCTTGCATGAGGATTTAAGATAGTGTTTGTAATAGTGTTCATAAAACTTGTTATTTTCTATGATTGTTATCAACTTATTCATTAGGTTTTACATTTTTATGTATTCTTTTATGGCTTTATCTTATAAAATGAGCACTGAAATGTAGTGATATTAATATAAACCTATGACAAGCACACAGTTTTTCATTATTCCAAATATAAGAAGAGGTTATATGGTGTAATTAATGGCAGTTAAATGAAGAACAAATTCAAGGAAATGTTATTTCATGCAAAATATGGGATTTACAGCCCCAAGAGACCTTTTGAATGAAATAGTGAGTTGAGTGATTGGATTTTAAAAAGAGCTTGATAATTATGTGACCATTAGCATTTATAATTACACTAAGATAATTAAGTATAATGAAACCTCATGCTTCTTGGTATAAACCGATTACTTACAGAAGTCAGGAAGGAATATGCTTTAGGAAATCAGCATTTCACTCAGCATTTCACAACTAGCCAGGTGTATTTTGGTTTTATTATGCAGAGACTCTTCTTTTTTAAAACTTTTCCAATCAGACAACAAACACATCTGTATGCAGCATGAAAATTGAATGGGGTAGCCATCTATTTTACTCTAGAATACCCTATCTCCTTACCAGTTTAAGATAATAAAGTTTCACTGTCTATCTGTAAAACCCTTTATAAGTTTTCAAAATTGACTATTCAAAATTGCCACAGAGGAAATCCTATTTGGAGATATGTCAGTAACCTTATCTGCTACATCACCTTCTTGTTGCTCTTTCACAACCAGGAATTTCATTGA